CTTGAAACATATTGACCCAACAGTATTAAAACATTGCCATGCAGCAGTTGCAACTTGTATCCTGGAGGCTGGAAAACACAAAGCCGACAAATCTACTATAAGGTATTTTGAAGCTACCCTATTTTTCTGGTGGCTGTTACTTAAATTATACTGCTAATTTCTATTCAAAGACTAATACACTTCTGTTTTTCTCTCTCTAGCACATATCTAGAAGACTGTAAATTTGATAGAGAGAGAATAGAACAATTTTGCACCGAATATCAGGTTTTAAGCCAATTTTAAACTATATTTCCCTTTTATAATTATTCATTCAGTAGAAGTTGGCAAATACATGTTTTCCTTTTTTCAGAAAAACAAAGATACGTTGGAAATCATATTGGGAAGGTAGGTTATTCTGCCAGCAGAAGTCATTTTTCAGTTAGAGATATTATTTAAACAAGCAAACAAAAACTCAAATATATTATGGGGGGGGGGAATTATAATGAGCTATTTAAATTATTAAAGTAACAAAAGCCGTTCAATTGTATTTAATACTTTTGAACACAAATTTAAACAAAATATTAACTTTTCCTTTCCCCATTTAACACTCTCTTCTTTAAATAAAGTTTGTGAACTTTTGAACAGTCATTTGAGGAAATCGTAAAAACTTGTTAGCGTTTGTTGACCAAAAGCCTTGAAAAACTGACCTTTACTTTTAGGGTAGGGTACACATAACCATTGTATCTTTCAGTATAGGCAGATGTCCTCTGCACATAACCGATGTTTCTTGGCGCCTGGAATATCAAATCAAGGTAATCTTACCACATTAGGAAACTTTGATTTGATTTCCTTCTCTGTGGTAATGTCTGATTTTTGTGTGTGTTTTGTTATCGCTTTAGACCAACCAACTTCATAAAACTTATCGACCTGCCTATTTGGTGACCTTAAATGTGGAGGTACTGTATATCACTTTTCCCAGCATAAGTAGATAAAAGGCAACTCCAGGCTCAGGACACATTTTAATTAAACAGGTGTTATTCTTTTCCTTCAGAACAGCGACTCAAGATCACACCCTGACGTTAGTTTTAGTTGCACTATGGAACAATTACAGGTATTTTCTTTCGTCATCACTGTTTCTGTATTTGACTGCAACGCTGTGAATTTTGATTGGGTGTCAATCAACTGCAAAGATTGTAAACAGTTCAAAAATATATGGGGTTGGGAGGAATGCCTTTTGTAAAAACATATTAAATGCAATATTTTATTGTATCTGTACTTCTGATGTGAAGCTGCCACTGCCAGGTACACGAAGTTATTTACATGGTTTTACTCTTTTGTTGGTAAGGCTTTAGAAACGAATGGAAAACATTTCTTATAAATGTAATGCTAATCTGAAAGGAAATCCATAAATTTTTCTACAACTTTGATCTCCTGTGATACAGAGCAAATATAAAGGAGAAAACGGTATGGTATTTGGATAACCACTGTATGATTGATTAAAATGTATAAACTGAGGAGTTTTAATCGGTGCTAATTGCACCTAAAGAGGAAGTAATGAATTGAAATATACATTGATCTCTGCTTAGCTATTGAGCATGTAATTAAGTAGTTGGAGGGCTGTTATACCGAAAAATATTAGGGAAAAACTGAGAGACTGGGGGATAGGGGGATGCAAAGATATTCCAATTACACATTTTAAACTCAAGTGAAATGTTTCCCAGAAACTTTGTTTTACCTGCAAAGATATATTTTGGTTAGGTTTAGGTTTTGCTGAGTGAATTAAATTTGACATGCTTTGACTGCAGGATTGTGTTGGCATAAAAGTTGACGTTAAATATTTTCAAAATATTTGAAATTTGCTTATGGCTATTGTGATAAGTATCTTTTAATGTTAACTGTGAATACACTGCTGGTACAATCTTCATGTTAAAAATACACTTTAATATTTTAGTAAAAGATCCATATGAAAGGCTATTTTTTGCAAATATATGTGGAACACTTTAAGCATTGAAGCATCGTAAAAGTTATTACTTTAATTGACATTTAAATAATTTGTATCAAATATAAAAGTCCTCTGAGGCAAGTGTTGCTCTTCCCATTTTGAGTATCTAAAAATTAATATGTATTTGTCTCTATTAATAGCCAGTTTGTTGCAAATATATTCTAAAATTAAGTACTCCATCTTTTAGGATTTAGTTGGAAAACTAAAAGATGCAGCAAAAAGCCTAGAAAGAGCATCTCAGATGTGATCGAAGGAAATTGACAATCCACCGGGTTCAAGAGGAAGAAAAGTGCACTGACTCCTAACAGTTTCTTCGTAGGGAACATGACGAATCAATTTTCTTCTTTCTAAAAATATCATGTCGTCACACACTTAAACCTTATTGCTTATGTATCAGCTATTGAATCTGAAAGTCCCTATTCTAGGAAGTGTAACTACTCTTTCTGTGCAGTCAAATGTATGTTTTGTTAAAGTCCTGTTTTCTTATCACAACTACTCTTATGTCAGAGTGCTAGATAATTGATTTGTCTTTAAAATATTCACTTTATTTTACTTTGTGCTTTCTTCTGAAATATTATTTTTCTGATTTTTTTCCATACATTATAATAAAACGGATTAATTTCTTCTCTCTATTTTTGTGGATGAAAACAAGCTCCGTTTAAAATGATGTTTCCTTGGAGGAACAGTATTATCGTTCAAAAGGCAAAAACTAGTTCAGTGCGATACTGTTAAGGGTCTATCGCTGTCATTGGTTAGATTGTAATGCGGTTGTCCGCCCATTGCTGTATCGTTTCACTCCCAAGTGATGTTGCACCTTGTGTGAGATTAAAATTCACTTAAACTTTACAGTAGGAGGCAAAACTGCCATTCGTTGATCTTGTCCCGGATTTGCTCATTAAAAACTCAGAGCAAGCACCAATCTACCGAGGCAGGCAATGGGTCAAGGTCTGCTCTTGCTGAGAAGTCCACCCTTTGTCATTTGAGTGTGGATGTAGAGATGGAACTGAAATGGGACCTGCGTTGTCTCCACAACCTCTTCACAGACACACCTTCCACCGCATTATCTGGAAGCTTGTCCCTCCAGAAATTATACCCTGTGTATGAAATCAGTGTTGATACATAACTCTTCTCCCACTGGTCCTCTTCCTCGCAGCCGCTGGCTTTAATCAACAGGCGAGCGGGGGCGGGGGTGACCGACTCGCTGAAGAGAATAAGCACCTGTTTAAATGCAAAAGCGGGTCTGGCTCCTGCAGTCCTGACTCCGGCAAAACGCTGAAGAGCTCAGGTGAAGACTGCCACTCCTTCCCTAAAGCTCCGGAGCCACGCAGGGGGTTTTATTGCTCTGGAGCGATCCTAGGACGTCACAGGAGGGGAGGTTAAGATGGGACTGGCCTTGCCCGCTCCCCTCCTCCGTCGGTCAATACTCCCTGGTATGATCCCTTCCTACTGGGACCCGGGAGGTGGGGGGAGTTCCTCTATCGCAGCCCCTCTGGCGAGCAAGCCCCCAGTATGGGCGGAGAGCGGAGCTTTAGCCTGGGCAGGTTTACTCTGTGGTGGACCGTGTCCAGCACGAATGGGGCTCCCGTCCACACAGGGGCTGTGTCCAGCGGCGGAACAGGAGATGGGCACAGCCCCAGCAAGCAGCGCCGTGCCTGGGGGAGCCACAGGAGGGGCCGAGGCAGTCGGGGTGGGAGAGGGGAAAGGGAATATCCTCGGGGAGGTAGGAGAGAGCCAGGCGTGCGCGCAGTACGCACTGGGGACAGGGTGCATGTGGCGGGGGATGGGGGGGGCAGGAGGTGTCAGGGCGTGTGGAGGATTCAGTGAGGAGCAGGATGGGTATGCTGGGGGTGGAGGATGCAGGGGGAACAAGGGTATGGATGAAAACGGGGAACGCGGATGTGCAGAAGAGAGCGAGGAAGGGGGAAGAGTTTGGGGGAAAGGCGGCCCGGGGAGCGGGTGTGGGGGGGCAGGGTGGAATGTGCGTCTGGAAGGGGTAGAGCGTGTGTGCAGAGGGGCAAGGAGGGGGAGATGGGCGGCGTGTAGAGGGGAAGGAAGGTGGAATAGGGGAGAGGAGGCTGATGGTGGCATGTGGATGTGGAGGAAGCAGGACGCAGGCGGTGTGTGGATAGCAGCGTGGAAAGGCAGCCGTGGGACTGTTTGCAGATGGAAGAGGGTCAGGAGCACGATGTGTAGCGTGGGGGCAGGAAATTGTGTGTGTGCACCGAGGGGGGCAAGGGCTATGTGTCGAGGGATGAGGGGGATGCGTGTGCTCAGTGGGGGGAATGCCGGGCCGTCGCCCAGAGTGGGGGCAAGGACCGGAGGAGATGCGTGGAGTGGAGGGGGGAAGAATGGGCACCGTGTGAGTGTGCGGGGTAGTGGGGAGAGCCCGCGTGGTGAGCGCGGCGGTGGGATTGAAGGGTGTGCGTGTAGGGGTGGGCAGAGCGTGGGGAAGAGGCAGCTCTGGGTGTGTACAGCCCATAGCCGTGCAGAGATGGGGCACGAAAGGTGGGCAGAGGAGGAGGCAGCCGGTGTGTGTAGATGTGGGGAGAGGGAGAGGACGGAGGCGGTGTGTGTCGAGAGGAGGGATGGACCGTGTGTGCAGAGCGGGTAGCGTGTGTGAATGGAAGGAGGGGTAGCGGTGCTCGCAATGTTTGCAGCCAGCGTGAGAGAAGAATAGGGATCGAAGGGGTGTGGAGGGAGAGGAGGAAAAGGCAAAGCGTGTAGTGCGGAGAAGTGGGGAATGTGTGTCGAGGGGGGCCGGAGGGGGCCGGGGCAGCGTGTGTGCAGCGGGGAAAAGGAGGAATAGGCAGGGTCTGTGTGTGTGCAGGGTAGGGGGAGGAGGAGGAACAGGCAGAGTGTGTGTGGAGTGGAAGGGGGAGGGGGCGATGTGCGAGGAGGGGGAGGAGGCGGCTGAGTTGTGGGATTGGGTCATGGGGAGGCTGACGGGCTCCGACTACACCGACACTAATTCCCAGGCCACCCTTAAGGAATGAGGAGCCCCACGTGATGCTGGCGGGGCGGGCGAACTCTGAGCCATTTTGGGGACGGTGTCAGTTTCCACTGTGTGCCTTCAGCGTTGCATTTTTTCCCTCCTCCGCCCTCCCGTCCCTGTTTCCCCACCAACAACTATGAAATAATAATAATAAAAAGGAGACCAAGAGGCAGAGCAGGGGGCCGAGGGGGAGACAATGGGCTGGTGGAGACAGAACCCATCCGGATTAGAAAGATTTTAAACTCCCAGCTCCTCAGCCACCCAAAAACCAGACTCAGAGAGAGAGCGAGAGACAGAGGGAGTGAGAAGGGTCGGTGGAGGAGAGGAGAAAACCCGGTTGTTTTGTAACTAACATGAGCTGAGAGCAGCAGCAGCAGCAGCAGCAATAAGCTTATTGCAATTGACAGCGTCTGCAGTTCATTTCAAGATGGCCGCTTGGCTCACATTCATTTTCTGCTGAACGACTTTTAACTTTCATTGTCTTTTTTGGCCGCTCCGATCGTCACCCACCGGCTCCTTTTTCCGGGTATGTATAAAGCGAGGTGTCTCCTTGCCAAGGACGGGGGGTGGTGGGGGCTTGGCGGCGGGTTTAGGCCGGTTTGGGGGCTGCAAAGGGGAGCCTAGGTGTCCCCCAAGCTCTCCGTATGCGAAAAGCGCTGACAGGCTGCTCCAACCACACACACACACACACACACACACAGACTCACACAGCAGAAGCAGCAGCAGCCTGTGCACTCACTTTCGTTACGCACCCACATTTGCAAATTTTAGTTCCTTTCTTTCCCCAGCTGCCCCCTAAAACGTTTCTGTGCACATGGCCCCCTAAGAGAATATTTATATTTTCCGTCCCTGTTTCCAGCCCGGCCTCAGCGCCCTTTGTTTAAAGGCAGATTTTGATTAAACGGGGACGGTTCATGAAATCTGGAGCTGCCTAGGTCAAGTGATTTCAGTCCTCTCCGAAAGAAATATGCTGGGGGGGGTTAAAATGTGAGATACTGCACCCATTTTATAGAGATAGGGTCACTGGGGGGTAGTGATCCCGCTGGGGGGGTTGTTAGACCGGGGGGGACCGGAAAGAAAATTTTATTAACTTAAGTTGGACAAACACTTCTGTGAAATTTGATGGCTTGTAAGATGGCGGTTCCCAGTTGTTTCCAATGCCTCCGTTTGCATTTGTGCTCAAAATGCTAAAGTTTCTGGGCTTGTACCTGTTGAGGGGTGGAGAGGGGAGACCAAAGTTGAAAAATAACTTTTGGTGAAGCAATCACTTTGACTGTGATCCTTGAAAAGTGGGTGTGCAGATTTACCATAGCGAAGATGGAGTAACTGCAGGACATAGTGGTATTTTTGAATACTTTCTTTTCTTTAACTGGTATTTTCATTCTAAGCCCGGGAAGGGTAAATTAACATGAACTTCTTGGTAAAGTCTTTAAAGTGCCGTGGATTTACTCCTCGTGCTGTTTATGGGTGGCACTAGAAAGTTGATTGTATATGTTTATGTAATTGTGTGTGGCCTTGACAATACACAACTTGGAGCTTTCCTAGCTATTTACTGTTAATATTAGGAAGTAAACAGGAAAGGAGAAGCAGAAAAAATAAATTTATATAAAAGGAAAAAAATTTCCAGAATCTAGAAACTAAGCGTCATACCCCGCTCTCCACAAAGTTTAGGGAAATGTAGACCTATATACCCAACGCCAAGTATAGCATTCAATAGTTTTCTGCATAGTTTATAGTAGCCAGTGTTACTTTATTTTATAGGACTCTTAAAGACTAGAGAGATTCTGGAAATGTAATCCAGTAAAATTGCTTAGAGGGGCTATTTACAATACATCCCGTAAACTAAGACAGACTTTTGTTGCAATTTACCAGAGATGCAAACTATTGATCTATGCCAGATCATGGCGATACCTACAAATTCACATGTTAGTTTATTTAGGTAGACTGATTGGGTACTTCAACTAGTTAAATTTATGAGCCTGATTTTAAGGGCTGAGGGATTTTTATCCTCTTGCCATTCTTCAGTTCTTTCTTTATGCTGTGCCAAGACGTTATTTGGGGAAATACTATCCTTACAATTCCTTTAAAACATATGTGGACATTCTTTAGTGAAGGGACAAGAATAGTATTCATAGTAAAAGTGGCTCTTATTCCTAAAGATAATAAGGCTTTAGATGACAGGCTTGTTATTACTGAACAGCCAGTTCTTCGAGCGGATATAGGTGCAAAGTAGGCAAAACCGTCAGAATGAAGTTTTAGGTAGACGTTTGTTATACACCTGGAAAACCGAATTAGAAAGTTTATTGCACTCGGATTTTTTTCATAGTCTATCTGATTATAACCACAAGAACGTGCTTCTGTTTTTCTTCAGTTTGACATAACCCATGAAAGGCCTCTAAACAGTCAGTTGGCTGTCACTGTTTACCGCTAGTAAGTTTTACCATCATGTATTGTTACATTTAGTTGGGGGTTTTTTTGGTTGTGTGTGTAACTATATATATACTCATGTTAAGGGACAGTTTGTGTTGGCTGTGGTGAGTCTCGGGGATTCTTAACGTTAATACCAGTAGAAAAACCTGAAAGGATTTTCCTCTAACCAAAATATGATGGTCAGGTTTTGCTGTAGTAAAATATGTGTGTATGTATAATGGACACACACATCTACAGCAGTGTATGTGTACCAGGTGGCTTGTAGTGAGTATTTGGGTGTTTGATTCAGTTTGCTGCATAAGATCACAGATTTCAAAGACAGCTCATAGTATGCGATTAGCAGAAAAAGAGCTAACTTTAGGCAATAAATAATACCCTGTAGGGGATGCTACGACTAAACAAGGTTCACGGTTGAATTAAATTCTCCATTTAGGAAGAGGCTACGCTTGTGTGAAATAAAAATATGTGTTTTGAAGGACTGCCCTGATATATCAGGGCTTGGGAAGAATTCTAAACTAACTGTCATATGTGACCTCTGCCACGGTTTATTTTGCAATATAGATGTGTATGATTTACACGGTGTTGGGTTTAACAAATAAAACATAGATCAGTGAAAGCAGCCTATTCATATTTGAGCAATGTAAGAAACCCCAGGTCAATAGCATTGCAGTAATATACTTCAGAGACTGAAGTGAAGCCGCCTTGCATTTATCCTCTCGTACAAAAACATGCTGTCCATATCAATAAAAAAGAGTGGCAGGTTGGAGAATCAGAATACAGTGACATTTGTGTCTTGACTCCCTGCGCTGTGCCACGCTCAGCCTTGGGGATATCAGCTCCCCCGAGCCCTTTGCCCATTGCTCGCAGTCATTTCATACTGGAGAGTTTGTCTACTGTACCCTCCTCATTCAGCGAGCCTCATGCAGCAGCAAGGGAAGTTGTCTTGCTCAGGTCTCTCGTGGGCTCTGTGGACGCTTTCTCAGAAATGTTGTACCCCTCACCTGGCCAGATTGGCTGACGCTCACAGCGTTTCGGAACCTGGTTGCTATCGCTGGGTTTCACTGCCCGGTATCAAAGCTTGCGAGGATCTGGAGAGAATCTCAAGCACGGTCAAAGAGAGTTTCAGAAATTCAGATATTTCAGTCGAGGGTAGCTTCTAGATTGTGTCCCAGGAGGGGGTGAGATCCGGAAACTTGGTCCGTGGAGTGGGAGCAGTGAAATGGGGAGGTGACTGGCATGCATTTGAGCAGCATTGTTATGTCACACTGCTCAGGTTGTAGTTGATAGCAAATCATTTACTGTACAATCGGCGCAGCTGGTGGTTGTTGTTTTTTTCTCCTTGGAGTTTCCTCTTTTCCCTCTTATTCTTTCCTATGTATGATTTTTGTTCGTGCCGTTGCAGCCGATGGGGGTTTGTAGGCTGCGGGCTGGGAACATGACATTTGTTTTTCACTCATGTCGCTGCCCAGCGTTGACAAGGTGTTGATTTAGCTTTAGGAATGGTCTGGTCACGTGGTCCTTTGCATATTGTCATTCCCTCACTGTTTAAAGTAGCTTTTATTGCTCAAAAGGTGACTGGTTCACACAGTCTGAGATTTGCACACCGGCTTCCTCCCAAACGGACACCTCATCCCCTTATTGCAAATCTCTTTTCACCTTAGCAAAACTTTGCACCGTTCCCGTCCGAGCCGCGGGAGAATTTCGTTTTAGACCCCAAAAAGCGTTAAAACGAGACCCAGTTAAATAAACATCTCGGTAATGCGATCGCAGGGAGCTGAGGCGAAGTCTACAGCTGGCGAGCTCGGGGGATCTGCCTGGGAACGCGGTTCGCCTGGGCTGGGAGAGGGAGGGGAAGAGGAACGATCTCAGACGAGCTCCTTGCACCGAGTCGACGTGGATAGAGGCCCCTGAGAGGATCCGAAATGGCCGAGACTCGGGAGGAGCCTCTTGCATTTGCCTCCACTAGTCTAAGACCCCAACACCGGCTCGGCGCAGCTCTCTGGCCGCCGGAGACCCCTCCCACCACCAGCTCCGCTTTCAGCCCCAATCCCCACCCCCATCCTTCCCTCCCAAATCCGGCTCCGCTCCCTTTGCACCCTGCGGGATCTTGCGGCCGCTCTGCTGAGCCCGGCCCCACCAGCCCCCTCCGCGCCGGACACCACCTCCCCCAGCCTCCCCAGAGCCGCTTCCCCCAGCTGCACCCCAGCCCCAGCCTAGGTTCCTCCAGGCCCAGGCTCTGCCCGGCGCCGCTTCGCAGACACCCGCAGCCTGCCCGGGCCGCGCCCCCTCCCCGGCCCGGCTTCCCCCGGCCCGCATCCTCTCCCCCGCTCCCCCCCGCCTGGCTCTCGTGTGTTCCCAGCGGTGGCAGGATGCCAAGTGTAAGTGTAAGTTGCTATAGCAACCCCCTCGGATAGCTGAGCAGTCCCGAGCCTGCACCGAGCGCGGCGCGAGGGGGAGCGGCCGCCGCCCGGACCCCAGCCCCGGCCGGGTGGGCAGCGGGCAGCTCCGGGGGCTGGCCGGAGCAGCTCCGAGGTGCGTGTCCCCCATCCCCACCCCCTGCTCTCCGGAAATGCCAGGGCGGGCGCGGCGGGAGGCGCCGGTTCCCCTTTGTGTGACTCCCCGGCAGCCCAGTGCCCGGCCCGCCCCACGGAGAGGGGACCCGGCTCCCTCCGCACCCCGGGCTGCGAGCCCCAGCCTCGCCGAGGGGAATCTGGGCCAGCGAGTGACCGCCGCACCCGCGGGGGAGCGGGTAGGTGCTGTGCAGCAGGCTCGCCCTCCCGGAGCTGGCAGAGGGCTTGGACCCCGGTCCTCAACAACGCGGGGCTGCAGGCACCTCTGGCCCCGGGACATTTCCCTGGGCTGTGTCACCCGGGCATCGCGCCCGCCCGCAATTCCCTGTCTGGCCACTTCTCCCCGTTCAGTCTCCTTCCATATTTCCCTGCGTTTTGGGGATGCAACTTCAGCGTGGGTGGGGAAACGCGGGATCTCTGTCCCTGGGACACTGAGCTCGTCCCCTAGTCAATGGTCCTCTGTGTGTGTCTTTCAGAGCCGCCTTTTCTTAAGCAAAAATGCACCGAACAACCAGAATCAAAATAACCGAGCTAAACCCCCATCTCATGTGTGTGCTCTGTGGCGGGTACTTCATTGATGCAACAACCATCATCGAGTGTCTACACTCCTGTAAGTACAGTAAGGCTCTTCGCATTGTCCCTGTGCTGCTTCGCACCTTTCCCGTGCCACCGGAAAAGCGGAGCTATTAGCTAGAACATCCAATATGCAGATTTGTGCGAAAGATGATTTGTTCGCATTTCATTTGACAAAACCCTTAGTCTTTGTTAGCGTAGTGTGTATATAGCGTGTCAGTTTCACGTTAATTGGGGCTAATTAGAGAACTAGTTTAGCTTAAGCAGCGCATTTCTAACAGTGGACCATTTATTAGCTTGCATAGTGTAAAAATCGCACCTCTGTCCATATTTGAGTATTGCCTAATACTATTACTAAAAGCCTTACGTGTTTTTACTTATAGTCTGTAAGACGTGTATCGTACGTTACTTGGAGACAAGCAAATATTGTCCTATATGTGATGTCCAAGTTCACAAAACCAGACCGCTTTTGAATATAAGGTAGGAGAAAAGTGTAATTTTACTTTATAAAAGGGGTCTAGCGGTGCATATTTTGATGTTCTCTCTTCATCTACAATTTAAATCTGAGAGGAGTTGTCAATTTACATGCTAACGTTTGCCTATGTTCTGTCTTTGGAGTCTTGTCACGGATTGATTGAAATCGAAGACTTGACTGGATGCGAGACAGAAATTTTTTGTATTTTTTGGAATACACTAACCAGTTGAACAATGTCCTTTCCCCTCTCCTTATTTATCACAATCCCATATTTTGTATCTCCATGTTCCATTTCACACAGACATCCTGAAGTGCAACCTCTTAACTGCTCTTTAGAAACATCAGAAATATTTATGAAACTTAAAAGAAAAAGTTAAACTTTAAAAAAAAATCCTCATTCTTTAGCATTATCCTTCATTGCTCCTTTGTGATATTTATCTCCTCATTTGGTTGGTGGTTACACGTTTTTAAAGGCCTTCATTTAGACTGAGTGAACACTACCAGACAGATTGCTAGTGGACTGAAAATATTTTCAGTTGGATAAATTGCAAAAGAGTTAACATTTATTTAATAACGTCAATTTGTTTGTAAAGTCTTGTGGGTTAATTTTAATATAGCTGAGCATTTTATTTTTGTAGACGATCCCTTATTGCCACGGAATTGATTGTAAATGAAGAGTTGTAACTTTTATTCAAGTATTGCTGCATTTGCTTATTTGTATCTTGGGGTTGTTGTTTTTTAGGTCAGATAAAACTCTCCAAGATATTGTGTACAAACTAGTACCAGGCCTTTTCAAAAGTAAGTAGTTAAATCAAACAACAATACATAACTAATATGCTGCTTTTTTACCTATAGTACAGAGTAAATTAAGTGAAATATATATATGCTTTTCCATCCAGATGAAATGAAAAGAAGAAGAGATTTTTATGCAGCTCATCCATCAGCTGATGGTAAAACTTTCTAGTTTATTAAACCTTTAGTAAACTTGACCTTATACTTAAGCTAAAACATCTTAACTATTTCCTCTTTCATTTACAAATTATTTAACCATAAATACATTTAAGACACCCTAGATTCAGCTTTTTGATTAAAGATATAATACTGGCTACTTAAATACTAATAGATTATCTTAGTATTGAGGTTTCCCCTATTACTGAGAATTGCCGTTCTGTCCGATTTTAATTTAAAAATATAAACTGTTGTGGAAATTTCCGTGCAGCTGCCAATGGCTCTAATGAAGACAGGGGAGAAGTTGCAGACGAAGACAAAAGAATTATAACAGATGACGAGATAATAAGCTTATCCATTGAATTCTTTGACCAGAATAGGCAAGTTCTATGGGAAATATTTTAAGTTTATCAATATTAACAGCTCTATCTATTATTTGTTGTAATTGTTTCATTGTTTTCCCCAGATTGGAACGGAAAGGAAATAAAGAGAGAGAGAAATCAAAGGATGAGGTAAATAATCTAGCTTTACTAGAGACAAAAGCCTAGACAGAAAAATAATAATTAATTTTTGGACAGTTTGGTGGGTGAGCTAAATAAATAATTACATCTATCTGCCAGAAGAAACAAACCCCCATTAAAAAGATATTAAACAGAGGTTTGCAACCTCTTACAGCTATAGTTAGAAAGAAATTACTTTGGTAGACAAAATAGAAGATGTGTTAATACTTTTTAAACGGAAACTGAAGTAGTTTACTTTTATTTTTTAAATGCCATTTATTAGAATTTGAATTTTTAAAATATAATCACTTAAAAATATCATTAGTAGAGATGTTTCATTTGTTTTAGCACCCTTACATATACAATTACTTATATAGTATTTGATTTTGCTCTGCAATTTTTTTTTTTTTTTTTTGTATTTCGTGCCTATTTCCAATTTTCTTCATAAGGAATTCTCAATAGAAATCTTAAAACTGTAGTTGGTCATTTAATAAAGTTTGTGTGCTTTTATTCAATTATACTGTGTCATTCTAAATTTGCTGTTTGGTCTCAGTACATGGACTGACTTTTTCCAATTATACTGTTAGGTGAATGACAAAAGATATTTACGATGCCCAGCAGCAATGACAGTGATGCATCTAAGGAAGTTTCTCCGAAGTAAAATGGACATACCTAATACTTTTCAGGTACCTGGATATTTTTATTTATTTATTTACTTACTTACTTATTAATTTTGAACAGTCCTTTTATTCTAAACCTTCCAGAGCTGGTTAGCTGTATTGTTGTTTGTTTGTTTTATTTTAAAGTGGTTTTCTGATTAGCTGTTTAACTCAGAACCAAAAAATAATAAGAACTAGCCATATTTCAAATGTATAATGTAATATTTTTAGGAGTAAGGAAATACTTTTAAATCCCACAGAAGCATTTGTGTTTATGCTATAATTCTTTCAATTTTATTTCTGCCCTCTAAATACCGAGGACATTATTCTGCATAAGTTTTTTTTTAAAAAATGAAATACTCTTTTCATATATGCCAGATAAATAGTATGTATCAAAAGTTCTCCTCTGCCACGCAGTTTTGGAGTAAAAGGTTTTGAAGTCCCTTTGATAATATTGCTTTAAGACCACTTTTCCCTGGAAGAAAAATATATTCTGCTTTAAGTTATTTTATTCTGATACTTATTAACTGAAGGGTTAATGTCTTAAAAATAGATCGATGTGATGTATGAAGAGGAACCTTTGAAGGACTACTATACACTAATGGATATTGCCTATATTTACACTTGGAGAAGGGTAAATACCTGCCGCTCCTCTTCTCACGCTGTAATCTTTCCTGGTGCAGAGAGTGTGCTTATAGTGCCTTCTCTTTGTTTTGCAGAATGGACCTCTTCCTCTGAAGTATCGAGTTCGACCGACTTGCAAAAGAATGAAGATCAGCCAGCAGAGAGAAGGCTTAAATAATAGCGGAGAATTAGAGAGTGACTCTGGGAGTGACAAGGCAAGCAGCCCAGCAGGAGGCATCCCCTCTACCTCTTCTTGTTTGCCCAGCCCCAGCACGCCAGTGCAGTCTCCCCATCCTCAGTTTCCTCATATCTCTAGTACTATGAATGGAACCAGCAGCAGCCCCACCAGTAACCACCAACCCTCCTTTACCAACAGAGCGCGGAAAACATCAATAAATGGCTCTTCAGCAACTTCATCGGGCTGACACCTCAATGAGACTGCCGAAAGCCCTGATTTATATAGATCTCTTCATGCCATTACAGCTTTATAGATGCTAATACGTGTGACTATCGTCCAAATCGCTTTCTTTTGTAGTGACACCGAACTTGGCTATGAAAGATGGACTAGGTGACTGTTTATATGGACGTTCATCACAACGAAAGATTGTTCTGTAAAGAATTATTTTCAAGGGACTGGGAAGCAAACAGACGTGTACCATGATGTGTTAGGAAAGAGTTGGAGTGATTGCTGTCCCCATCATTTAGAGGTGGGAACCTCCGGAAGTGGATCTAAACCTTGGGATGTAGTTTGTTAATCCAGACTAACTCCTACATTACATTCTCTTCAATTGTTATTGTTATTATGCTGTTTTGTGAACCTGTAGAAAGCAACTGCTTTTTCATCTTGAAATTCAACAAAACGGAAAGAATATGCATAGAATAATGCATATATGTAGCCATGTCACTGTGAATAACTATTTCTTGCGTATTAGCCATTTTGATTCTTATGTTGCATCCTTACTTTTCTGTTGCTGCGCAGAACCGATCAAAATGAAAGTAAACTTCAGTTTTACAGTTTGTATGCCTAAAAGCGGGTATTACCGTTTTATTTACTGACTTTGTTTAAATGATTCGCTTTTATAAGAATCAGATGGCATTATGCTTGTTGTACAATGCCATATTGGTATATGACATAACAGGAAACAGTATTGTATGATATATTTATAAATACTATAAAGAAAATATTGTGTTTCATGCACTCATGATATGGTTGTTAAATTTCCAAACTGGTTCGACCCTTGCAGATGCCACCTGTTTGAATTTTGCTGATATTGCAGAGAACACTTAGTGTGTGTGTGAAAGCTTCATTTGAGAGCTACCACAAATCTCTGTTAACCTGAAAGCAATTGGCAATCTTAATAGGATTTTATGGGCTTTATCTTGTTTCAAGTGATATATTTTTACTTTTACCCAAGGATACTAATAGTTTAAATGGTGCAGTGAAGAAAAATTAAGGAACATGGAAGTGGTTTACCTGTTTGGTTAGTTTTATTATTTGGTGTGATGGGATTGTGTTTTTTAAAAGCACATGAAATCATTATAGAAGCCATAAAATATGTGGTATAAATTTTAAGGAACCAGCAAGTTGCTGGATGAAGGCATTTTATCTAAATTTGTTTTAATATATATATGTATATGGTACAGTACTAACTTCATTAACATTTAACAGGTACTTTAATATTTCCAATAAACTGTGGAGAACGCCTCCTCTTTAATGTTCTGCCAATAGGAGCATTTTATCAGAGGCTCCCAAAGGTATTATTTTTGAACTAGAAGGAACACTTTCAACTTAAAATATGAATAGCCCGGAACACTTTTCAGTTTGTGCTTTGCTTTGGTCGAACTTCGTGTGTGTTCATCACCCATCATTTATACATTTGTGAGGGTGTTTATTCTATATGGATATTGTTTCATGTTTGTACGGGAAAATTGTAGTTAAACATTTCATTGTCTCCAGTCTGCAACAGAAGCACAATTCTATTGCTTTGTCTTGCTTATAGTCATTAAATCATTACTTTTGCATATAAATTGCTGTTACTTGTCCTGCTTGTTTTTATAGATCAGGTGACTGCAAATCCTCCCCTGGGATTATTGATGTATAATGTCTTGTTAAACGAGATTTGATATTTTTTTCCTGTAGTAAACATGTACAGTTCCATTTGAGCAGTTAAAGCGTCCAGTTTTATATACAGGAATATCTTTCATTTATAGTTGATCAAAGAAATAAACAAATAAAAGGGATACTTCATTGAAGAAATAGCAAATGAGCTTTGTTAATCATGTGATATCGAAGGACAAATAGAGTGCTGTTACTGAAATACTCTGTGCGTGTATGACAGGTTTCGGTAAATAGAACCAGGTCACCATAGAGTGAAAATAACACAATTGTCTAAACAGTGCTGATTTATTTCAGATGCATGCATAGTGAACAAGCAGTGTTCTTTATTTCACCTGAGTAGTTCTTGGGACTAAGTGGTTAATTCTCAAATGTTGACAAAGGAGATTTATTTTGCTTCATATCCGTCCTACTCACACTTTAGGAATGGTGGGGCGAGGGGGAGTAGAGATTGTGTCTTTCCAGCTCTGTATTACTTTTTTTTAAACTTCAATGGAACAAAATATTTTTTAAAAGTAAAGAGAGTTCAATCGCACAGAGAATTGTCTTGGCCTGGTTTCCTATCCTATATAAAATATGACTTAATTCACAACAAAGGCCGACATTGAACCCAAAACACTGGATTGCACATAAATCAAACTAAGCTTCTTTATTTTGGAACCAGTTCAATAAGGACAAATGTTGCAATAAAAACTGAGTTAATATTGGTATATACAACCTTTCCGTGAAGAATAAGTGCAACGAAATGTGAGTTGGATAGTTCCCTTGAGAACTTACACAATTTCTACGGTACACAGGACTTCACTTCATCCAGTCCTTCTAAAAATGATAAGCACCTCTAACGATCTAACGGAGCTGTAGTACGTCTGTTCCTCCCTAGAAAATGTTTTGCTACGTGCTGTTTTGTTGTTGTGATGCACATATATTGTTAAATTTATTTGGAAAAAATCCAAGATAGCATCTTGATGTTTACATCAAAGCAGTTCAATCATTCTCCTGGTTTCACAGGATTGTCTTAGCAAGTAAAATGCACTGTTGTCAGCAGAAGTATGGGTAAGTCTTTAAGTGATTCTTTATAGCCGTGAAGATTAAATGGACATTGAGTGTGATAATTCAAGAAACTCCTCATACTCGGGGCCATTTTAAAGATTATTTTTACCGGGAAAATAAGCCAAAGTGTGCGATGTCCAATTGCATTTGCTGTAAAAAGATGTTAATCAAATGTATCCTATACATGGATAAAGTTTAAGGCATAGGAACGCTACGTTTTTTCATTGCTCGTTGCTCCAAAATTCAGTTCCGGTTCAGCTGCTAATTGCTCCACGCATAACTTGTGTCCACCCAGAGTGGGGCATGCGAATTTAATGGTCCACTCGATCCACTCTTTTGAAAAGTATTTAAGAACTTTTTTCCCACAAGCAGAATTGTGTCCCCTGAGTTACGAAGCATTGCTTAAAACAACCCATTTCATTGTCTTTCAATAGGCCAGTATCAGCGTGTAGCTATTGCAGTTCCAAGGTGAACTCCAAGGAGCCTTTAGCCTCACCTAATTAGACAGGAGAGCAAGAAGCTTCTTTCATTCACATGCCAAGGTGCCTGAGAAAAAAGGCATCTTTTTAGATAACTCCGTTCAAAGAAGCTTTTCTTCAGTTCTCTGGAAATGAATGGAGGCATTCAGACTCTGATGTTTCAAATTCAAAGGCAGAGAAAATTTAAGCGTTAGATAAACATTTTTGTAAAGTGCAGGTAAATTTCTTCCTTTCATTCTCCAACACTATCAAGCATGTCACTCCATCCCCCACCCTCACTTCTGCCAAAGAATCGACTTGTTTCGTTAGGAATTTCCAGTGAGAAGCCACAAAGACTATTTGCAAGGCACTCGCGGATTAATACTGGGGGGGAAGCGTGAACACTCTAGTTTTTTACAGCTCCATGACTTGCAAGCGACTCTTCATATTGACCCCGAGCCTGAATCTATTGTGTGTATCCTCTCGTCATATGTAGCTGCTTATTACCTTTCAAAACATCACAAGTGAGCTCTTGCAGTTCCGACCTTTACCACCAAACAGATTCACAAAGATCGGGTGCTTCTAGATGCACATATACAACGGGCTCCCGCTTTCTAGCTAGACAGAGACAAGCAAAGGCAACCTACACCGTGAGTTACCTGGGCAGGACTCTGATAGTTTTCCTCCGTGCAAGCACCTTCTGCCCTCCTAATTTTGATCTTGACAAATTCTGAGACAATGTTTACGTAGATAAGTGTTTCCTGTTTCCGCTGTTAATTTTTAATGTCCTTGCTTCTACCCTGGGTACTTGAAACGGATTTCCTTTATTTTAGTATAGGCAGTTTCTTTTTCTTCGCCTTTTCTTAATAGGTCCTACACAAGGAATGCCTTTACAATTATGTACAGGCGTATATAAGGGGCTGAAGACATTAAGTGTTCCGATCTTAAAATCGTTACCATGTCAGGAAACCCCAACGGGACAGCTGGTCTAGTGCCGTATGAATTCAAATTCTGATATCGTGGTTTTCCAGATTTGCTTCTTGCCTTCCCTCTTCTGCAACCAAACAGAAGATTCACAGAAAGACAAAAGATCAAACCCTAACACCTTCCAGAGTCTCATCTCAGTGCTTACTGGATTTGAATGCCTATATTTATTTAATGCACCGATTAATTGTACGCATTTAAAAATGTCAAACGCGTGGCTAAAAAAGAGGACCCACGAATACAACTGGGGCTCGTTTCTCGAAGAGAAGAAAGAAAACTTGCATTCTGTGCTGTCGCTTTGAAGCTGGGCTGCAGCATGCAAATGTCTCGAAACCGTGAAGAGAGCTACGGAGGCGATTTTGGTGCTTGAGCCTGGATACCGAATTAGGGATACGACGTCCCCCTTTCAGTTCCTGTGCGCCTCGCTACAGATGTTAATAGGAGCCATGCACCAGGCGCCTTTCTTACTTCTCTCTCTCTCTCACCAGCACATCGCACTGAAATTGATGCCCGTAGCTCCATGCGGTGGCTGGCACACACTTTCCTTCTCGAATTTGGAGGAAGCGAAACTAGCGGTGTTAAGCGCCGAAAATGAATTGTTTTGTGCTTTCGGGGCGGGGGGCAGAGGGGGATGAAAAGGAGCCCCGCGCTTACTGGGAGGTATTATTTTCCCGCATTAACGGGCGGTTATGTGAAAATAACCCCCATGGCTTCTTCATTTGGAGCAGTGAGCGTCAAAGAAAATATGTGGCATCTGCAAATTCCCCCCACCCACTCCGTGCGCTGCGGCTTTGCTCAATGCCTCCACTGAAGCGTACAAGGCTCCTTGCCGCGGCGGCTCACACTGGGGGAAGAGGCCATCTTGCGCCTGCGCAGCTCCGCTCGCCGGGTGAACGTCCCACTTCTCTACCGCCAAATTCAAATGGGAATTTTCAGGCCGCGCACAAGGCAGAGAGCGACGGAGCAATCGGGAAGCGCAGACGCTGCGGGGAGCACTGACGTTTCTTCTGATCAGCCGCCAGGCCACAGGAAGACACATGCTCCTTGCACAGCCATCGCAAGCCGGAGAGCTAACGGGAAAACGAAAGCAAGAGAAAAGCCCCCACCGTTGTTTACAAGTAGCTTGAAAATCATTATTGCCAGTGGCGATCATGAGCGGTCGCCACGTAGCAACTACTGCCCGGGGTAACCTTTTGCCCAACCAGCAGCCACAGCCAAATTCACCCCTTAACAAATAATCAACCATTGCCAGTTGCCATCTTTCTCCCCGGTAACGGTACCCAAAGCAAGCACCCGTTGCAGTAGCGATCCTGGGCAAATGAACAGCCATTGCCAAAGCAGCGATATTTGCCATACCAGCAATGATTACCAGCGGCCACCGTTAGCAACTAAACAATTTTGGCCAGCTATAACCATTTCCAGAACGAGAACCATTCCCAGCCGCAGGTCCCTGCGCATTCTTTCCAAACAAGGCTCTGCAGATCAATTAACCCCACATTTCTCTGGGCATTGCTGGAGAAGGGAAAGAAGAAAAAGCTGCTCCTCTCCTGTTCTCCTGGGGTGACACTGTGTGGAGGACACGAATCCCTCAGGCACCGATCGTCGTCCACATACACACATAACTCCAAGCTCCGCGGGACAGGAGTGCAATGCAACCAAGTCACAGTCAGACCGACAGGCTTATTTAATAACCAGAGCGCACGGATCTGTTTAATAAGGGAGAATGTCCCTTGAGAAGCCGTGACCCACTAACACGCAAGTCCCAGAGTCTGTGAATCACGGAGTCTCCTCCCCCCCCCCCCCACGTGTTTCCTTACGATGCTACTGGGAGCCTTAAAGTGGATCCAGTTTTGAGGGAAAGTGAACTCCTGACCACAACGGGAATGGGAGGGGGTGACGGCAATGCCCATTGGCTGGTTTAGAGCAACCCCTGCAGCTCCAGCACTCTCAGCTCTCCATGGGACTTGCTTCTAACCCGAAATATCTGGCTTCCAGCGAGGTCCCTCCAAATGCTGCCTGCATCTAGCGGCAAAAATAGGAAACAAAGCTCCAGCAGACCAAAGGTAAGGCAAGGGCCATTTGAAGAAATCCAGGCCTCCTCCCGAATAAACGAAGGTGACTGTAGATGCCATTTGGTGCTTGTATTTTAATGGCACGTTACTGAATATCGCACCTCAGATACAGAGACAAAGGGCTGTATTTCTGATCGCTGTAAAAAAAAAATGCAAATTCTTTCCCCCTCTGACCACCTCATGCTATTTACATTTTCCACTTCAGTGTGGCTTCCCCTGTAGGGACTATTTCTCACACAGAAACTCAATGAAATCTCCTTTATGATACAGAAGCATTTAAAATCGCACAGCTAATAACACAAGAAAATAAAAAACTACCCCCTAAGAAGTTTCCTCTGGTGCTGTTCCCAGCGACAGTGGTGAAATTACAGACTGACTCAAATCCCAGATTAGTCGGAAATGCTCTTTCTGTATTGTTCTGACCTTTGCTGAGAGTAACGATCATTGACATTTCCCTCAGCACTGACATTTTTAACTCTTCAATTC